CTTCTCCCACTAAAGCATATTACAATTACAATAATGAAATGACTCAAATCAGAGCATGCCATGCCAGATTAATCTTTAAACTCATTTCATAATCTCACTTAAAATATAATATTTGAATTATCATTCATCCTACTAATCTACTATACATTGTTTAATTCATTATTCTTTTGGTCTTTCAATTATTCATAAATTATAAATTAAGTTTTTTCTTCTTTTTTTTTTTTCAATTTTTATAAATTTAGCAATTTTATTGTTAAATGCGTTGTAAATTTATTTTATCAATTAGCGGGACCTCAATATTTTAAATGAAAGTTGATATTGAGGAACTTGATTGATTATACTTACAACATGATCAACAATTAAGGAACCACATTGACTAAAATTAAAAATGAAAAATTAAATTGCATAACGATCAACAATTATAGGACAAAAAATTAAAATTGAAAATGAAGAATTAAATTGCATAATGATCAACAATTATGGGACAAAAAATTGACTTACCTACTTTTTTATATTAATTTTCTAATTATTGAATTAATTGACTCAATCACAAGTTAATCGGAATAGTTTTGTTATTAGAAAAAATATACTTGGTAATTAAATGCAAAATGAAAAAAAAAAAAGTGTACATTATAATATCATATTATAAAGCGATTATTAGGCATTTATTTTAGTAGGGTAATGTAGCTAGCATATAGTTCATCATGTATAATGTGATATATCATGTATCATAATCTTTTAATGTGATACATCAACATGTATAATTTTTTAAAAAAATTTAAAAAATAACTTAAATAAAAATATAAAATGCAAAGTGATAGAACAAAGAGCATCTAGGGGTACAATGTCACCTCAAACAAATTATGAAATGCTAGTGCAATGTCACAACTGTGGAGTACAATATTTCAAGTTCCCTATAATTAATAAAATTAAACTATTTTCATTTCTATCAATACAAGAACAATAATTCCATGAATGCCCTCAATAATAAATAATTGTGCAGTTATTTAGATAGTAAATAATAATTGTCTAATAAATCAATTACAGAGTACATTATTTCCAAACTTCATTCCTGTAATTAATTGAGCTATTTATGCGAGCAATAAATCAATTACATTCTTTCAAATAACTCATGAAAAAGCTAAGCATTTGAAGCCTCCAACGGCAATTAGCTACAAAGCTATAAAAAAAAAATAATTTTCATTATTAATAATATAAACCAACCAAAAAGGCAAAATTCTGACTATATTTATAGTGGTATATTGTATATTGCAGGTACAAATGGGAAGAAAGACGAATTAAAAATTAAATTCTAAATTACATAGATTATAAATGGTAAATCCATATTCCCATTTCTTTCATGTCTTCTTGTCAAACACCGTAAATTTAACTTAGAAGATTCATTTGACTTAGACATGATCTTGATTAGTCATGTTTATATTGGGCTCTAGAGATATTATTTTGAAGTAGATTAAATTGTAGTGAGCTCTTTTGATGAGTTTCTTTTTTAGGGTGTTTGGCAAATAGTTGTTAACGGGTTTGAATGATTTGATTAGCTGATCTGATCGCATTAGCTGGTTATAGAAAAATGATTGGTAAATTAGCTATTAATTATTAACGAATTACATGCAAAATGATCTTTTAACATTTTGGAACAATAAGTTACTATAAAAAAACTGATTAACTAAACACTCATATTAATTGTTTAACTAACTCAAACATCTAATCTAATAGTGGTCAAATAACGCAAAATTGACTAATAAGCTAACTATATTTCCAAACCAAACAGGACCTAAGTCTTTTAACTCCCAGCGGCCCAGCCTAGTTTACTTGAATGTGCAACTTACGAGTTTGTTAGATTTTCTTGGACCGAACCTCTCGTAATTCGGTATGTTAAGATTAGGGTGGGTGTTTTGGTTTATTGTTCGATTTTTATTATTATTATTATTTTTTTTTTTGGTTTCAGTTTTGAAAAAAATGAAACGATTGGGTTTCAAATTTTAGTTCAATTTCAATTAATTTATAATAAATAATATTTTTAATAAAAAAATAAAATAAGGATACGTACACCGTATGCATTTAACTTGATAAACAAGTCAACTTAGACTTAATTCAATAATTTTATCAGTTTAGGGGACTTGAATGGAGCTTTTTTCACTTAGGGGACCCAATTGCACTATCCACTTAACTTAGAGGGTCAATTTGACATTTTTTTTGAATAAATATTTATTTTTAATATATTGAAGATACAATATTTGCGTATTGAATGTTCATTATTTGGTAGTATAAGAAATAATGAACCTTCAATACACAAATAATGTGTCTTCAAAAAATGAACATTTAGTATATTACAACATGTATCTTATGTTAATATATGGTCCACCTTACGAGGTGGATCATGATCATGGTATAGTGATTGTGTTGAGATTTCTATAAATGTTCGTGTTAAACTTGGGCAAATTATGCTGTGGAACTATGTCTTCCTTTCAAGGTGAACACGGTTCCAAAACTGTTCATAATTATGAATATATAGTTTAAAAATTATGAACATATAGTTCTATAATTTTGAACATAGAGATGTGAACATAATTATGAACATATAGTTCTGTAATTATGAATATAAAGATTCAATAATTGTGAATATGAAGTTCAAAAATTATGAATATATAGTTTTATAATTATGAACATATAATTCAGTAATTATGAACATATAGTTCTGTAATTGTGAATATAAAGTTTAATAATTATGAATATGCAGTTCAAAAGTTATGAATATATAGCTTTATAATTATGAACATATAGTTCAGTAATTATGAACATAGAACCGTATTCACCTTGCAAGGTGACACGGTTCCACATCATAACGATTGGAAAAGGGCAAATTATGATGTGGAAACGTGCCCACCTTGTAAGGTGGACACGGTTTCATATCCATAATTTTTATACTGTAGATTCATAATTTCTATATTGTAAATTCATAATTTTTATATTGTAGATTGATAATTATAAAGCTATATGTTCATAATTTTATAAATATATGTTCATAATTATAGAGATATATGTTCATATTTCCAATTGTTGAACTCTGTTTTCACAAATCACAGAACTATATGTTCATAATTTGATAACTATACAATTTAGAAATTATGAATCTAAAGTACATATATTATGAATCTGTAGTATAGAAATTATGAATCTACTGTATTTAAATTATGAACTTACGGTTTAGAAATTATGAATCTAAAATATAGATTTTATGAATCTACAATATAGAAATTATGAATCTACAGTATAGAAATTATGGATATACAGTATAGAAATTATAGATATGAAACCGTGTCCACCTTGCAAGTTGTGCACGATTTCACAACATAACGTTCCATAAGGAAAGAAAGTTAGGGATGTGAGTTGATTGAGCAAAGTGTCACAATAATATACTATGATCAGCGGGGATGTGAAAATTGTCAAATAAGTCCCTAAATTTTATTCAAAAATGATCACGCTACAATAATGCTATGACCAACGAGGATGTTTTGAAAAAAAAAAAAAAAGGACTAAAAATGAAATGATACAAAAAAAAAAAAGACCAAAAAGTCCTTGTATTTAATGCCATTTAAATGATTTTGTTGACAGGGGACTAAAAATCATTATGACAATAATAATAGAACCAAATAGACATGTTTTGAAAAAAAAAAAAAAAAGACTACAAATAAATTAACACTTATAAGTCTTGGATAAAAAATGAAATTAACTCTTCTTTAAAATATCAAATCATTCACCAAAAAAAAAAAAAAAAAAAAGTTAAAAAAACGATTAACAGAACTATATTGGTTCATTCAATTAACTAATTTTCACCAAAACTTGTAGACCCCTAATCTAAAATAGGAAACAATCTACCAATCACATTTGTAATAAATGAATACTAATTTTTTTTCTCTCAATGAATTAAAAATGGTGATAAATAATAATTTTTAAACAACGAATCACATTAAAACCTCATCGATCATACACTCAATTCATTGTCATCCTTAATTCCTTATTAACAACCCCCACTAATCAAAACAGAACGAAGAAAAAGAAGAAACGAGAATAATGCTCATGGCTCTCTCTTTCTGGCTTTTTGTGGCTTAAAAAAAAAAAAAGGAACCAAGAAGAACAATGCTTGTCCAGATTAGAGACAACTATACATACATTAGCAGATTTATGTTAAATGAATGGGGCCAAGTTTGCTGTCACGAGGAACAGAATCAACAAAAATGCACAGAGAAAGTGATATGAGAGAATACAGACTGCTCATATAACCAACTAACAATAGCTGTAAACACACCATTTTTTGCAGACAAATTAACAAAGTTGAACACGACAGGGAAGAGAATAAAAGAACAAATCATGTTGACATGACCTTTTCTCATTAATTTCTTCAAACTCACCCATCTGGTTGGATATATATATATATACATATAATAGTATTGCAATATTTTTAATATGACTATCATCTTACCTTATCATCATCAATAACACAAAACTGTCTGTGGGGCTCAATATGTGCCCCACTGTCACATTACCTATATATAAAAACTTTCATTTGCCTGTACTCCATTATTTTATCAACGAATCTTTAACCTTTTAACCCAAAAGACCAATACCCTCCACTTTTTCTGCGGGATTTAGTTCAATGATTTAAAAGTCACCGTGAAAGTCTTGCTCTAACGGCAATATAAGTATCTGAAGACATGGGAGTAACTAGGAGACCCAAAGTTCCAAAAAATTAATTAGAGGTGATTCCCTTATATTCAAAGATTCCCCTATATTCATTTTGAAAAAGATAAACTGCCCCCATATTCAAGAAAGAGGCATGTGCTGTTAGGTAGTGGCTTAAACATTTTAAATACAAAGGTTTGGGAAAGATTCAGAAGTATAAAACTAATAACAGAAGACAATAAACCAAAACTAACATGGGTGTCTTTCCAGATCAGATTTGAGGGGATTGAGAAAACTGATGAACACAAAGAACAAAATAATTGCACTAATTAAAGAAACCGTAATACCATGATACACAATGTTGTTTACATTTGAATGATTTGATTCAACCATGGGATATCACAAGGCATAACCCTCGTAACTCCTATCCTAACCTACAGACCAAAATTAATCGACCTGGGTGAAGGTGGGGCAGAAGGAGGGTTGTTCGTCGAATAAATAGAATCTGTTCACAATCGGGAGTTGTAAGTTCGATCCATTTATGCACCGTTCTTCACTGCTTCGACATGCACTGTGTTTCCGTTCTCAATCTTGCCATTGATTTGTGTTCTTAGCCTCTGAAGAAGAAGAAGAATGTTGAGACTCGAGAGCCAAAGTCATAACAAGTTATAGGCTTATAGCATAGAGAGAAACAAATAACGATGAAAGGGGTGGATAGGATCCCGATACCTTCTCTGTAGTTTCCCCGGAATTCCCATTCAACAGTTTCTGGTTCTCGTCTTTAGTCATGCTGTCCTTGGACAACGGAAGCAAGAATGCTGCTACCGATCGGTCAGGCAATTCTGGAAGTTTTTTGTCAACGAAGAACACTACCAAATTCACTGTGTACCTACAAAAAACACATTTTTTGTCAACGAATAACACAAATCGGATAAGTAGAGAGGTTTAGACACCAGATCATACAAAAAACGAAACCACAGATGAATAATGTCTCACCATGCCACAACAACATCTACAGTGTAATGTTTGCGAGATGCAACGATCAAGAAGCTTTGAATGATAACAGCTAACCAGGCACATTGTTTTATGAACCTGCAGATTTCACAAACACAATCAACTCAAATGTACAACTAGGATTGTAAAGAGACTACTATTCGCTCGCAATGTTTCTTTCTTGTTTTCACGGGGGGAGAAAAGCATTCCACCAGAAGAGGGAAAGGGGGTCCATCAAATTTTCAGGAGTTTTGCGTTACCTATACCCTATTGAATAAAGTAGCTAAAACAGAAAATAATCACATTCAAACAGCATGAGAAATTCACCTTTGTGAGCCATATTTATAATACGTCCGCACAAAGACAAGAGAGAATATCATATGAGATGAAAATATAAGATCTCCACAGCCATAAAGCACTCCCTGAGGAACTGCAATTTCATTTTTAAAAAAAAAAACAATAAGTCTTCCCATTTTAAAGAATGTCAAATTGAAAATTTCTTATGGAAAAATAAAACAGACGTAATCATCATTACCTATTAATAAAACCTCTAAGAGATTATCAGGACGAGGCAGCCTGGCAAGCTTTGATCCCTACATATTGGAAATGAATTCTTAATAATTTAAAGAACAAGAATAAAACCAAATATTTGCATTATCTGAAACCTTTCCAGTTAGTTTAAGAACATACACACCATCTTTGCATGAAAAACAAAGTCAAGTAAGTCTCTTACCTCACGACAATGATAATTTGGACCTGGAAGCTGTGTAGAGTAGAAAGTAATGATCCGAAGGAATTGACAAGCCTGTGCCAAACAATTAAGTAGTTTACAATTAGAAAAAAAGTAAGGTATCATTTTAGGGAACGCTTCAATGGTGACTGATAAGTTTCCACATCAAACGGCATTTCAAAAGCAAAGAATTCACTTTTTTTTTGTAAATTAGATGTGCCTTTGAGTGCTTGCTTTTTGCCCCAAGAATTCACTTTTTACCCTTCTTTTAGTGGATATATGAGTATAAGAATACATAGAGATTTAGGGGACTTACAACTAAGAAAGCCAGAACCCTGCACCATATTAGAACAGTGTAGATCTTTTTGTTCTTGAAAATGAAAGGATGGAAAGTCCACTGCACCATTCACAGAAACATGTTACAAGAGAAAATACTAAAACACAGTACATTGTGCAAAAAAATAGTGTACTGGCAAATGATTTAGAAGGACAACAATTTAAGAAAAGCAAAATAGTAAAGAGAAAGTCCAATAGCTAAAAACATGGCAAAATAGGTAAAATAGGTAAAAAGTAAAAACTCTCACCAAGACAAAAGACAGAAAGATGAAGGTGAAAACTGTCTCACTGACGTAAGCTCTGTCCTGACCAAGTTCCTGGAGTTTTTCATCAGAAACAAACATGACATAAGCATGCAACTTTCACAGTTTCACTAGATAGAGGGTAATGAGAAACACAAAAATAAGTTTTTCAAAAAAGAAACACAAAATAAGCAAAACTAACCGGAAGAAGGAAAAACCCGGCATCCTGAAGTGTTGGTCCTGGCCGATGAATGTAATGAACCCCTCGAGCGGCAAGTCCATGAATATACTGAAAAACGAATAACAAACCCACATATTTAATATTTTACATCACAATAACACATGAATCTAAATCGGAGTAAAACAGAACAATAATCAAAGACAAATGAGCCATCAGAGAAACAATTATTAACATATATTCAAATTCAACTACCATCACATTAACCACTGCAATAATTACTCCACAAAATTGCCAATTAGAAACAGCAAACTATGGTTAGATAGGTAGAGATTATGCTTAATGCTCTTCTAGGTTTAATGTTTCAGCACAACACTTTAGCCCATAAGCAGATTGTCCATGCAAACATCCCTTGGCATAGAGGATAAAGTGTTGACTCAACCAGAATGCCTTAACATATGTATTACAAGGCCAAATTAATGAGATTAAAAATAAAAATAAAAATATTTAAAAAATGAAAAGAATGGAACTTCAGAGAAGATTTACCCTGATAAAGTAAATGGTGTATGCATCAATGGAAACTAGCTTTCACATAACTTAACCAAAGTATTAACTTGTGAAGTACAATAGTTCATATTAGCCCAATCACAGGCCTCCCAATCCAAAAGGCTAGGTAGAGTACACAGTAAATTTGAAAAAACCATAGTTCAAAAGAGTGATGAAGAATGTACAAACCTGACAAATTAAACCACCAAGAATATACTTCCAATTCTCGAGAAGAAGGTTGATCTCTGTTGCAGTTTCTGCACAAACTCTCTTCCAAAGCTTCTCTCCCCCAACAAGAAAAAAAAACCAGAATCAATGAAAAGTTCCTTTTTTTAGGGATAAAAATCTAACCCAGAGAAAATAAAATCCAGAATTTGAGATTAAGAAGTTTCTTGAAGTAAAAAATAGCGAAAAGAGACTAACCTTAGAAGCCTCGCGACCAATGTAAAGCGACATATCTGCGTATATCTTCACCAATTCTACCACAACATCCATATTACATCACAAACCTACTGTAAAGGTCAACATCACTAATCTTAAACCCTTTTCTTCCCCAGGAAACAACTAAACTCGATTCCAACAACCCGAACTCGAACCCGGTCGTTTACAGAAACAATTCTAAATCGTCCCCCCACTTCCGAGAATCAAAAAAATCCCAACCCAACTAAAAATAAGATCTCAATCCCAGGAAGAATAAACAAATAAATAAGCGAATACACCGGCGGAAAAATCGAAAGTCTTCGGAAAAATCAAATTGGTAATGGGTTTGTAAAGATCGAAACTTTACTGGACGATTCTGTGTTTGTGCCCTTTCTCTGTCAATAATGGTGTTCTATGCGTCTAAACGTGTGACTTTCTCTCTCTATATTTTTTTCTCGTTGTGTTTTCTGCGAGTTGAACACGGAGAGACAGTTGAAACTTGAGAGAGAGAGGGAGGGGGAAATTGGTAGTCCTTTTAAACAAAAAAATTTGTTCTTGCGAAATTGGGAGGAAATCAGTAAGTGAAAGATACCCCACTCTTCTAAATTACGGACTATTTTATTTTATTTTCTTTTCTAAAATTACATGTGCTGCCGTGCTGTTTTTTTATTTTTATATATTCTATTATTTTGAACAGATATTTCAATATGATAGAGTCAGTAGTATTAAAAATATATATATATATATATTCTATTATTCAAAGGTATATTTTTTCTTGGTATAGTCTAAAATTTTCATCGTCGGGCAATGACTAGTCCTTTGATGGATTATAGCCACCTTTACTGAGTGAGACAATTGATCTAGAAATTTAAGACCGCTCCATATACAAAATTAATGATCGAATTGAGTCCCTTCAAGGTATATAATTCTCATGATATTTGTTCTAAAAATTTTAAGGGAATTGGAACATGCCATTTATTAAGGAAATCACTTTACAATAATATAACTTATACTATAACTAGGTTAAAAAATCTTTAGTAACACTTCTATTATTATATAGACATACATAGATTTGTTTGACTTTTAAATATTTGAGTTAATTAAGTCATTAAAATTAATGTCAGGTGAATAACATATTTAGACCAAAACATTGAAAATAATATTGTGTCTTAGCTTTGTAGATGGCATTTATTTAGTTCAAAAAAACAAGGTTGCCCTTAATTTTCATTTATATGATGGTAATTAAAAATATAAAATATAAAATCTATTTACTCATGTCTTCATGTTAATCGTCTCATAAATGTACAAATTTATTTTTGAGATGTCATCTCTATTGGGTAGAACAATTAGCGAATCAAATTATTAACTTTTAATTAATGATGCATAAATCATTTTCACTCAACTACATCCCAAGTTAAAAATACAATATATATTAAATGTCAGTCTAATGTAAAACTTATATGTCACGGAAATTTAAACAACGTGCTTGCCAACTTAAATGATAGCTAAAACATTTTAGATTTAATATTATATATCAAATACAAAATTGTTCAATTTATTAAGTCAACTTAGGGGTCGTTTGGTTCACGGAATGTGAGATTACCTTAGGGAATGTTAGATTGCCATGAATGTTAGATTCCTGGGAATGTTAGATTTCTGTGTTTGGTTAAAACTGAGGTATGTAATATAAACCTGTTTGGTTGAAGAGTTAATGTTTATGTTGTAATGAATATTTTACTTACATATGTCATGTGTATGAAGTTCAAAAGGCTTTATTTTAATTTTTTTACCCACGAAATTAAAATTTTCATCTTCTAAGCAACACCTATTATTATTATTATTATTATTATTATTATTATTATTATTATTATTATTATTATTATTATTATTATTATTATTATTATTATTTTATAATAAAATATGTAATTATAATAATATAATTTATTATTTATTATCATATAAAAATTAAAAACTCAACAACATAAAAGATATTATCACAATAGCAACAAAATAATATTTTCATAGTAAGAGAATGACAAAGTAAGCAAATAACCAAGGGAATCTCACATTACCTAAAGAAAATGGGGGAATCACATTCCCTCCAAAATCTGATGTGGAGGCTATCTTTGATTCCATGGGAATGTTAGATAACTCCAACCAAACATAGGAATGTTACATAACTAAACAAATATAACCCTGGTTATCTTAGATAACCTGAACCAAACGCCCTCTTAAAGAATATTTAACTCGATCCCCAAAAAATCTCATCGAACTAATCGACATTCAAATTATCAAATATTTACCTTATTTCATACCTGCATCACTGCATGGGCATGGCAAATATGACATTTGTTCTTTTGTCGCATTGAACATGGAAGAAAGTTACTTATATCATATTTTTATGAAAAGAAATGTCACAAGTCATGAAGTATAAATGAGATGATACGAATCTTTTTTAATTAACTTAATCATATGTCTCAAAAATATTTTGTTGTCTTAAAATTATTCTCAATGTGTAGAATGTGACTAATTCACATTAGTTATAAAAGGTGATCCTGCCTTCTCCCATTCTAAAATATTTTAAGTTATCAATATAGCCCGCAAATTACGTAAACATAAGAGATAAATTGTATTAACTAGGAAGACCTTGTGTGATAAATTACTCCGAAAAAATGTTAAGCATAATTAAATTTGTGATTAAAGATACAAAGTGAGAATTATGTTTCATCTATTCACTCGACTAATAAATCATTTATTATTATTCCATATAAGTGAAGGGTGGCGGGAGAGAATTCAATGAACGTGGAATGGTAGTCAGCAAGATGTGGAAAATGATTATGATCCAACGATTAAATTACAGTCCTACTGTCTACAACTAATATTAGTCCACTAGGCTATCATTTTATTTGATTTCGTTTTTCGTAATTTAAATAATTTAATAGAACGTACGTTAAATTCATCTTAAATAAAAATTTGAATTTAAACAGCAACCAAACGTTATAAAATAAAAAGTATTTCAGTTATTGAATCTTAATTGGATTAATCAAAGTTGAGAAATAATCAAATAATATAATCATGCTAAAATATATTTTTTAAAAAAAATTGAATTATTGTGTTTCTTCCGTTAACGGAATCCTTTTTTCTTTTTTTTTTTTTTGAAAAACCGTTAACAGAATCCAAACATTCGTAACCTATACAAATGATTGAAATGAATAATTAATTAAATAAGAAGTATTTTTTAGGATGACCATTTTTGAAAATAATTGATTTTAGTTTGTGAAAATTTTGAATGTTTGTTTGGGGGAAATCCCAGAATGAATGTCCCCACCGCTGTCACGGCCGGCAGCCAGACAACGCACTTCGTCCGGTTGGGTCCATGTGGCCATCATTAACTTCATCAACCGTTTTAATTTGCCGTTTGAATGGGGTAATACACGATGCCTCCGAGGAAAATTTTAATTAATTATTGATTAATAGAGTTTTTAATGTGACTAATTTAACCGTTTAGAATACACAATTTATTATCTTTGCCCACAAAAATATAAAACTTTCTTGCAGGCCTCTACTGTCCCCACAATTTATTATCTTTAATATAACAGCGTTAAACTTCACATGAAACAAACAATAAGCTTAAATATTTCATAGAATTCGTCTTAATTTCAGAGTAGTGTTAGAACATTTTTACTAAATTATAATTCGTGCCATATAATTCAAGGGAAAAAAGATTTTTTTTATTAATTACATGAAATTTTAATTAATAAAAAATTATTAAAAAAAAAAAGGAAATCAGGCCGGAAAGGTCCCATTTCTCCGATAAATGAAATATATAAAAATGAAAATGAGAATGCGCCAAATAATTTTGAAGTTTCAAAGGGGATATTGAAAGTAGAGTCAAAAATGGGTTGCCAGGTCAAACCGAGTGGAAGCGTCAACTCCTCAATCAATTATATTGACATGATGATAAGGAAAGCTTCCTTAGCTTGGCATTATTAAGCAATGGAGACTATAATATATATTTGCTTATGAATCCATAATACTTCATTTTTACGCTCAAACCACAAATTCTTAAAATACTTCGCCATTTCAATCATAATTTAGAAGTACAAATTTGATAGGAGAAATGTGTGGTTCAAGTTATTTTGGGTGTAGATCAAAATGAACGGAAGTAGCTAGGTTGTTTTCAAGTATAGCAGTATAGCTTGTTGGAAATAATTAAAATGAATCATTGAGGCATGAATTTAAGTTAGATACAGGGTATGTTTGGTTGAAAGGTTTAACTCTAAGGAATGGGTATAAAGTGATTATGGTATTGTTTGATTGATAGGTTTTTAGAACACTATTATGGGTTTCAAATACTCACTTAATTGAAAAATTCATACCCAAATAAAATAAGGGTATCATCTCCTTTTATTCCTTTATTCCTTCTCATCCCCTTTGATTAGTGCTTTTAGATTATTTATTTATTTATTTATTTTTGTAAATATTGGTGTTTTGGATATCTTTATATTATATCAATTGTTTTGATTTTGTGTTTTTGTATTTTTAAAATTTTTATTCCCATTATAGGATGATATATAACCCAACAACATTATTGATAATCATTCTCATTGGACCTTACTACCAAACATGCAAAATACTTCACTAAAACCCATTACCATTTCCAAGTATTTGATACTCATTCCGATTCCGATTCCCATATGCGAACCAAACACACCCACAATTAATAGTAAAAATTAGACTAGAAAAAGAGATATATGTATTTGCACTATGTAGTGAGGGATGTTGTATATTATAATTAATCAAAGTACAGTTAAGGTAGTATAAAGTCAAGTATAATAAGATTGTAAAAATGATCAATCAAGTGATTATACAATTTTAGTTAGATACAAATAAAAAAATTGAAACGTTTCCAACATATTGTCAATGTCAACAATATGTAAAACAAATAAATAAATAAATCTTGATTGGTGTTAAAAAAAATTCAATTCTAGGTTCATCAAAACCAAAATAAATATGATTCTTCTAGGTTTGAAACAAATTACACTTAGAAATATAACGATTTTATGTTGCTATTTATGGGTTCGGACTAGCATGAACTTGATTCATTAATATGACTTTAATACTAAATGATACAATTTAATTAAAATTCTAATCAAACCAGAAAAGTTAACACATGAGTAAAGGTTATTCGATATATATCTTATATATTAACTCAAAATTTCATTAGTAATTGGTGTGGAATGCTTCATGGCAACTTAATATACTATTTAGAATTTTAGAGTATTAGGGTAGCTAATTAAATTGCTCTATAATCGACTATAATTTTAATTGAACTTAAGTGGATTTAAATTATCTAATGCAAATAGATTAATTTTGTATACTTGCATGCTCAAAATGGTTTAGTCGATGAATGAGAATTAATTGTCAAGTATATTCATGAAGTTATAAAAAGTAGATGGAAAAAAAAAAATTATGTCCCACATTGAAAAATTATGTAAGTTAGACTAGGCTATAAGAATTTTTTT